GCGGACGGGGAGAAGAATGATACAGATAACGAACCGGTCTTCATTCGTAGTCCCAGGAGTAGGCTGAAAGGTGACGGAGTGAACCCCAGCGGTGATACTAGAGTTACACATTCCCTTGAATAGATCCCGCCAGTCTCTGAGAGAATGAGTCGACATGGCTAGTTACTGTGGGGGGTGGCGCAATAAGATACGTCAAGCTTTCTGTCAGTGAATTTTTGTGTGCACTGCTCAGCAATTGACATCTGCGCGTCGAAGCTGAGAGTACAAGGTTGGACCAAGTTAAAAGCTACAGCTCTGAAGCATGTGGCCGCCAACAACCTGAAGGATATAATCAGCATCATGGTTGATGGGCCAGTCTACGGCGAACACCGACCCTCCTTGATTGGCCCAAAAAACGTTATCAAGTCAGGATGTTCGGGCCGAAGGCTCAGCGCTCCAGGAGCACGCCACGACCAACGACTCCGGACTTCGTTTCAATCTTCAATTATTCTATTTTATCCATATTGACGCGATAATTTTCTACCAAGATACGAGTCTGATACATGATGGCACATGGCAAATATTCAAAAGCTTTCTTGCCGCGCCCAAAGGTAATAATGCCCATCACCTCATCTTGTCGCTTCTCATCAACCTCTTATCGTGCATCCTGATTCTTAAGACATGGCTTCAGGGCACTGGCTGAAAAACACGACACCGGTATTCTTTTATAAGCACGAAGATTGGATCGTCCCTAACTATTTGCAGGGCAATCACGGGGATTCTCGGTCCTGGTAATTTAACTTTTTTTAATATCGATCAGAGCGGCCAGGTACCTCTGTATGAACCTGTTAATTCCGATAAGAATATCTATCGACGGACAGACATGTTCTGAGTCAACTTGGACAGATGAAATACAAGGGCGATTATTTGCGAGTTGCTGGTACGAATTCGCGTCTTCTTTCCTCCGATATCCATCCGCTGAATAATTCTTTCAGATGAACTGTTTTATTGACGGGACGGTCGTCCTTTCAAGTCTTGATTGACAAGTCCGCAGATTTTGAATCCTGCACCGTGTCATTTGCTCCATCTATGAAATCCGAGAGATGAATGGCACATCCCGACAATAGAGCGCTGATGATCCACTGAGTTCTTCATGAATGTCAAGGTCTCGACCTCACTCTCAGGAAACGATATGCGCGCTGTATGTGGGTCTATGGCGTCAGTGATAGCCTGGACGCGAATCTCGGCGACAGCAATCAGCCTATAGCGTCCGACATCAAAGTCTATACTTCGCACTAACCTTAATATTAGGTGGTACGACCTCGCTTACTTTCTCACATAATTACTTACATGTCGTTGGAAACCACAAAGATGACCTGCGAGTCTATCTGGACCACCGAATCATTTGTTAAGGATATTCCTCTCTTCGTAACACTTCTGTGGCGTCACCTAACTCCACTGCCGAAAGAACGACTCAGTCTGGACTATAGTCTACTATTGAAGATCCCCGGGCATTAAAATTCTAGGCACCGCGTAGCACCCACCGACGATCCGGCGTTCAATTGTTTCATCTGGATTCAGAGTCGAGGTGAAGGTCTACTCGGTTATAGGGTGGAAGTGTAGATGACTGCTAAGAAACAAGCTCGTTCTTTCCTCTTTTGTGCCTTCACTTTGCTGTGCTCCTTCCTTGACGAGAATCTCGAGCGTCGAAACAATGTATTCTCGGGGCTAGACATGCCACCTCTAATGTCTCCGGGACCTCCCATGACTCGACTCGACGTATATAAAGGAACGCGCATTGTAACTGCTTTACAAACGGAACCTGACAGCCATCACAACAAAAAGAAAATGTGCTCATCCTCTGCATACCCATCTTCATCCTCATCCTCCTTCGTCTCCTTGTCGTTACGACTTTGCGAGACGAGGCCTGATATTTGCTCTTTGATACCAGTCAACTATGCCGAGTCTTTGCCTCAATGCTGCCACTGTGGTTGACGAGGCGGGCATGCTCCGGGATGCCCTTTCCAGTAAATGAAGTTCATCCAATAGATTCTTCGCAATGTTATTCGTGGTGCGTTTTACCTCGTCTATGCTAAGGCCTTCGTTCATTTGCCTCACATAGAAGCTGCCAATCTCATATCATGCCATGCCCATAAAATTCATAGATGCATATATGCACCACTGTTCCTCACTTTCTTGTTATCCATCACATATATGTATTTGCTAGTCCTATTCTTACTCCCTGCTGTAGTAACTGGATGCTAGGGTGTACCAGCTATAGAGGGGCTAGGTAGATTTGTATTACACTACTTTCAGTGACTATATGACCCTGGCCAGCCACTATTCTGGCTCTATACTGACTGTTGCTTGGTTAGTAAATGGCAGGTGCAATAATCCATGAGTGGCCAGAATGGATGATTTTATGGTAGCATGTTTATCCTATTTATTTGTGTCTATTCCTGTTCTTGAGCCAATCCCATTGGTATGTCATCAGTTGCACACCTGACCATAGTGACAATGGATGATGTGATTTGAGGTGATCTTGAATCTTGATGCCATCTGGATGGGTGACAATGCTGAACATGTGACAGATATGTGGGGAATTTGCTGGCTGGGACTTCAAAGGAAATATTCTTGCACTGTGTGGTCTTTTCTTCATGGGATACAATGGTTCTTTGCCATGGATTAACCATGAATCATTGTTTCAGCTGCTCTTTTTTTGGATAAGATGAAGCTCAATGTGGTTATCTTAGATAGATAGGTAGATAGATAGGTAGATAGATGGTATTAAGCTACCAGTCCAATATGACTTCAGAGTTCATGTACTATGTGTTTAAAATCTGTGATTCAACATGGTTGCACTGTAGTTCACAGGGGTGGAAATGTTATGGCTGTTAAATGCCACACCCTGACCATCCTGTTTGGTGCTATAGGCAGCAGTGGCCAGGGAAGTTTTGCTGCACCATGGCTGGCTACCACCAGTATAGTTTACAACCTCCTTGGAAAAGAGGAAGCTTTTAGAGTAGCACAGGAAAGGGACATCAGAATATGATGGCTATAGAACAACATTTGCTGTCCACACCAGTTCATACTGAAGGATCATCATATCATCAAGATACAGCATCTGATCTGATTCTCTGGAGCACCACCATGGCCTGGAATTAATGGTTTAGTCAGATAGAACAAAGGTCATAACCAAAGGGCTTACCATTGAAAACAGTGAGGAATTTCCACTGTTGGCCATTGAAGAGCCATTCCTGCATGATGAATTGGTCTTCATTGCTGGCACCGGGTGTTGGCTGGAAGGTCACAGAGTAGACGCCGGCAGTGATGCCGGAACTACATACGCGGATAAACAGCTCTCGCCAATCACTGATTGAATGAAAAGACGTTGACACGACTTGTGGGCGGCCGGTAGCTGTAGCGACAGAAAAGATGCTTTGTTTGGGTGCTCGAGCCTTTATGTCTCTGAAGTCAGAACATAGCTTATGAGAAAGTCAAAGGCTGAAACTCACCAGAGACTGAGGATCGAAACCTGATAATGTGACGTAATTGGAGAACAATCCAAACTGAGTAGCTAACTCGTTGAAATAAAATCGGGGCCCGTGCGGAGAAGTCCGTTCATTTTTGGTTCAACCAAGTTTCTTCGATCATAATATTACAACGAAATGGAACAGACACAACATTACACAAGAGAGGATGAAGTACATTTCCTAGACTAGCAATGCGAAGACAACAGATATTGATTGCCAAAGCACCTCTTCCAGCTGCTAGAGGTTGAACTAATTCCGCTGGCAGTGCGCTCAGTTCAGATATAAAGTATTCAATGCGAGAGGAATTTACCTAGGAATCACCAACGTAGCCTTCAGACAAGGGGACATGGACCGAGAGGAATAAGACCATCGATATTCGTTTAAACCGGAGAGGCACATTGATGTTCTCCGAGGTAAAAATCTCGGTGAATCCTCACTCTCGAGAAAAAGCATGGAACTCACTGGTAAGAGAGAAAGTCATAATCGTGACCGAGCAAATTATTATGCGGAGGAGCGATCCAAAATGGTTTGTAGGACGAAGCGACTATGCACCCAGTTGGCTAACAACGATACAGAGATCGACGCGGAATGCGGCCGGGAGGCCCTAGACGACTCGCCCGCCCGTAATACGCGTGAGTGGATGGAGCTGTTGGTCATGGCTTATCAGGCACAACGACCTGTATGAATGGGAGGACTTTTTGATCAGAAGAAGGGCCAATGAGACCCAGTATCGCGCACGACGCGATGAACCTTCCAACGGAGAATCTTTTGGTTCAGCATAGATAGGCTCATCGGAGCTGAGAATGGTGCCAAGTCACTCATATCCCTTGCCTCAGCCTCACCAGGACCTTCATACAGACAATATCGGTACCTGCTTCCTTCTACGCATACCCACCATCTCCTACCATCTCCATCATGGGTCCCAACTGGATTAGCATCCACATACCTGCATCAGACTACTCTTAGTCCACAACCATTGGCGAAGAGGGGATACTGCAATACCTTGGAAAATGCTGTGCCTCATCCCCAGAAAACAGCGCAGAGTCTAGAGATCGCCGAGCACGTCAGAACGCGCAGGCGTCAAGTCCAGTAGACCATCGCGTATCCAAACATCCATACGATTTGGTTTGACGCTTGCTCTCTGTCCCGAACGATGAGCTTTCTGTTTCTGGGGAATGTGCATACGATGGTCCGTTCCTTGATGCTCTCGGCGTCTCCTCGGTAGACCGCCATACGACGAAGGTCCCAGGGAATCGCAAGGTACTCTGACGCACGCCATCGCGCCATACATCATCAGCTAAGATTGCTGTGAGGAAAGATTTTGGGGCTGTATCGATGAAAAGAAGACGCACTGATGTGCTGGCCCCCGATGGCCAGAGGAGATTCCTTGCTAGCAAGAGGTCAGGATAATAGAAACAATACAGAACTCAGCCATTGAGACTGGCGAACGACGTCGACACTGACGCTTCCGCGGAGCCACTATGACGGCGGTATCTGCATCCTCTTTGGCTGCTGGATATTCCAGCTGGCTCAGAGTGAGCATATCGACTGATGATGAGCGCAGAATTGTTGAGACCGTCCACGTCGAGACAGACTGCAGGTATAGCTGAAAGTTCTCCTTCAGTTCCATGTGCATTTATACTGATAGCGATTTCGTATCACGCCCTCTACGACAACGAGCAAGATATCCCTGTGGTTCACCCTCTTGCTCTTCAAGTAAATCTCAGCAATTGCTTTATACAAAAAAAGAACGGCTGAGAGTGAGCACTGTTGTCGTGGCAAAAGCAAAGGAAAGAGATCACGGCGGCAAAACCCTCAAATCCACACGCCACAAGCGCGTTCCCGGGCCCCTAACGTTGTTTCATTTCATGCACAAATGATACCAATCTGACCAGTTTTCCCTTTAAATGAATCCTCCAAGAACAGCTGCTACGTCTTGACCGAAATAGGCGTGCGCGTAACCTGGCAAGGCTAATATAAGCCTAAATAGCCACCCTGAACAGATTCACTCACTTGACGGATGGTAATTATTGCTGTGGAAAAAAAAATAAGAAACTGGACTGACAAACATAAAATAAATCCTACTCACCCCCAAAAGATATCTGGCGCATCTCCATAGGTCGTCGCATCTTCGAAACCATAGCAAGTGGGATCATCCAAAATCGCCGTAAACGCAGCGTTCGAGTCCCAGATCCAGGTCGTAACCTACATACATTAACGCTCAGCCCGCGATAAATACATTTTTTGGTACACCTACATCGCTATGGTTAGCTTTCAGAGAAGCCACACGAACCGTAAGCTTGCTATTGAAGCCCTCGATCACAGACTTTTCCAGAGCTTGCGCTGATGTCGATTGAGCGAGCATCTACTTGCACAGAGAGTCAATCATTACCGTCTCAAGTTGGAACGTGCGAAAAGCTTACCAAGGGTGAACGATCGATTGGCGGGACATTTACGAATAAAAAGTTCCTCGCTCCAACATCGCTGGGAGAACGTCAATTATCCAGCTTCTTCATTAAAAGATCTGTACCAACTACTGTAGTCCAGTCAGATAAGAGAGAAAAAAAGGACTTGGAAACCGACGCACAAATTGTTCAACAAGCGCGAAATACGCATCCAGTAGCGTATCAGAGAACCTGATGGAAGCAGCCTCTCAGTTATTTTTACAAACCAGAAGAAGTCTGCATACGCGTCCCGATCACCTCCAAGGTAATAACTATTCCCAATATCATTAATTCCTATCCAAACCGAAAACAGCGTGTCCGCGCTCTCCCACAGTGGTTCCCTCATAAAGGCATAGCTATCCAGAAACTCGTTGACCTGGTCCGTGAGCGACAAGACGGTGGGCTCGTAAGGCGTGACCAACTCAGCAGAAATCGTGGCACCTAGTATTCCGAGTCAGCCGAGTTCGTAAAAATAATTTGGACTGGGACGCACCTCCGTACGCCAAGTTGTATGTCAGGACAAGAGAGGTGTTATCCACCGTCGTGACGTAGTCCACCCAGTTCTGGCCTCCGGTCGCTGTGTATCCTGGGTACGGAGGATTTCCGAGCGGGTTACCTACAGCTGGCTCCGTCCCATTGGTAACGAAGCCAGTTTGGGTGTACGAGTCGCCGCTGGATTACCTTTCAGCTTGCGTATTAAATTTTGAGTAGCACGTACAAGCTGAACCAGTACTTCTGCGCGTTGGCTTTTGCTGCCAGGAGGAGGAGGAGAAGATGGGGAAACATGATGACGACCACGGCCTCTTCGAATTCTTATAAGAAATGTTAAAGATCATCGATCATGTGGCGATACTCTTCCCGTGTTTCATCCGGACTGCTAATCGCCTGACTGATAGTTGACTCGTACGTACATCACACCAGTAGTGTCCAAACTCCCGATAATTCATCGCTACCGGAATTACAGCGACGTTTATCCATCCTTGCCAGACGGCTGGTCAACATATCAACGAGTGGAGGGTGGGGCGAGAAGAAAGGTGCATCGAGGGTGCACATGGTAAATGAAGAAAGAATTCACCTGGAGATTCAGTTGGTGGCAAACCCGGGCCGGCATGAGCGAAGTTGTTTCTCCACTTCGCAGGGAAAGTTTTGCCCTTGTGCCGCATACCAGTTTCCGAGTTCTCTATCCATGATGGGATGCAGGCGCCTTTTGCTTCTGATGCAAAAAGAACCGAACACATGAAGGAAGCAGGTCCTTACTACCAATACACTGATACTTCCTTTTAGGTAACATCATTTAGCGAATAGATGTGCTAGCCGTTCGGCTGATAAATTTCTTGAAAGTGCATGCACGGTCCTAGAGCCAGATAAACGCATTATCTCAACAAATACAGGTCCTGTAGACGATAGCAACAAGTCGTAATTACGGAACACCTATTATCTCATCCCCGCTTCGTCTGCCATCTGACTCCACGCTCTCCTCTAAGTCTAATCTCAAACGAAAAGAGGAGTTGCTTTCAGCATCCGTTTGAGTTCTGCCCGGGTCGATCGAATGATCTCCAAACCGAAGCGACGATACGGTACTTCCCTCCCTCCAGGAGTCGTCAGGGGATGGGTGCCCAGCTGCGATACGACCAAATAAAATTGTAGGTATAATTCCCTTAAACCATTAAGGTCAAAACGGTAAGCCTGAAATAGATACTGGAATGCAATTACCCTCATCTCACTGGCTACCAGGTCCAAATATTCCCCGACTGGGGCATTGTTGCGAACTTCAAACACCAAGAGAACAACTATTAACGCTGAGGGAAGAGTAGCGGAGTCTACGATGACCTCTATGACTCTGCGATATGTGCGTAACCCTTCCGCGATGCCGCTGACTTTGAGGATGCGGTAAATAATGAAAATCGTGCACCATAGTAGGGTAGCCAAGATGACTGAAGTGTAAAGCACAGCCCAGTCGACGGAGTTCAGCGTGTAAAGATCCGATGGATCTGGTGCGTTGCCGAAAACATTATCGTAGAGTATAATTCCTCTACTGACTAGATGTGCGGAGATGAGTTGCAGGTAATAGATTTACCCAAATCCTACGCGACCAATTGTATCACGGACCCACTGAGCGCCAAAGTAGTACAGATGGTCGGAATGAACACAACGCGCCAAGACCGTCCCCAAACATTCCAACAACGCCAAATCTACAAATTTAATGAATAAACTGTACGAGAAAGAAAGGAAACATCATGCCAAAGTAGCATCTGCCAGGAGAGTGCTCAAAACAGCATTAATATTCTCTATCAAGACCATTGGCAAGTATTCATGTAAGGAGGCATCGTATTTCGTCCAGAAGTTTTGCCCATGGGCGATAAAAGATAGAGCACACAGGCTCCAGTTGTAGAAAAGGATAAAAGTCGCCATGGCATATAAGAGTAAGATGATGACAATGAAGAAGCGTGGCCTGCGAGAATTTCCACAGTTTTTACTCGAAACTAGACAGAATTTGAACTCATTAGAAAGGCGCAACATTAGCAGAGAGTAATTTATAAACCAAGGGTCCACATCGTTATAGCCACTACTCCGGTATAAAATCCTAGAAGCAACTTGAGTTGTGGACAGTTGATTGGAAGCAAATGGACCCTCTGACCGTGTAATGATCCAGTGAGGACCGCTTCGTTCAATAGTCCATCCAGAGATTGGAGGATGTCCTTGACCTCACTGTTGGTTAATTCTGGGATAGTAGTCCCCGTACCATTAATACTGGGGAACATTGAGCCTCGAAAGAAGAACGGAGATGGACTTTGGCGCCTGATCTGACTGAACAGTCAGCGCTTTATGTAGAATAAATCCAGTCTGATATTATCTTGAAACTATCATTACCAAATATTGCAGTGTTGATGTAACATACTTACGGTGCGGCGATCACAAGACACCTTGATAATCTTGATTCTTGTTGTCTGGATTCTCCTGGAAACAAGGGACACCGGTAGAAGTGATTTATTGGTGGCGTGATGATTCATATATGAAGCGATAGTCGAGCCCAGGGCTTTCCCTATCGCACTCCGGTGCCTGTTATCAGATCAGAAGATACTATTTCGATGATGTGGTTGTGGTGTGCTTCAGTGAGATCAAAATATTGAGGCACTCAGGGATGAATTGTGAAGCAGAAGGCTTTAAGCTAGAGTTTGTAGCTTAGAAACCAAGATGCAGTCCCAAAAGTCAGAGTCTATGGCAGTGCATGATGTGACCACATGTTAGGATTCATGTCAAGCACTCTACATCCCATGATCCATGATTCATGCTAACCATCATGATTATGATCAGTATTTTTCAAAGTATCTCTTTCCAATGACAACATTGACTGGGCTGCTGTTGCACTGTGTGCAAAGGCTGTTAGACTCATACTGTTGCACTCATAAGCTAGAGATTAATAATTATTGCTCTGATGCATGCAGCTAGCTTCTCTTTCACTTTACCTGGCTGCTGAAATTGTGTACACAGACTATTACATATTATTATACATATGATGACTGTCAATAAAAATCAAGTGACCCATACATCCAAAATCAGTCTGGTGATGGTGAGAACACATTAATTTTGGATCAGGCTCTCACCATATCATTGAGACACATGCATTTTAGAACTACAACAAAAAGAACATCCTATCAATTCCACAGGATACATGATTACAAAACAAGAGAAAATTAAATCCTTGGCACCAGTTCATACTGAAGAATCATCATATCATCCCTTTGCCCATGTTCTGCAGGCCCAAGAAACTTGGCAAACAGTTCCACTGAAGTTCCAGCTACCAAGTTCCCCAGTAGCTCCACAGCCCAGTTTCCATCTGAGCCTATCCAGCTGACTTCAACACTATGGTTGAGTCTCTTGAGCAAAAGCATCATTGACCTGGCTGCCAATGAGTCTCCCCACAATGATAGAAGGATCAGGTCCATCCAGCTTTTTGACCCTCTGACTGACTGTAGCCTCACCATCCACAATAGCATCAACACCATGGGTATATAGAACCAGAGTTGACTTGTGCAGTTGAAGCTCAGTGAGGTCGATAAAATGGGTGCTGGGTGAGTTGAAGACATACGGTGGCATCACATTGCAATACTGAATGCCATCCTGGTAGCATTGCAGTTGTTGTCCTCTCAGGAGTTTGAAGAAGAGCTCTGTTGAGAACTCTGATGGGAACTTGAGACTATAGTCACCCAAACCTGTAAGCATGGAACAGTGAATACAAAGATAAGATGTGTCAGTTGCTACATACCTCTTATGTATAGTACCGCACCCAACAACTGACTATTTTCTATTATGTCATCCTTCTCCTTGGAGAGATGCATCATAGTGATAGAAAGATACTCCTTCAGAGTACACATGCTATGGGGGGTAAGGAGTACCTCACCATATCCTATTCCATCAGGGTCTTCACAGGCCAGTGCTAATTGAACATCAGACTGGGCAGAAATTGAATAGAGAATGATGACACACCAACAGTTGAATCGCCTAGTCTGGCTAACCATATATTATCTTGATCCTCATCAATAAGAGCTAGTGCCAGCATGGAGCCAGTGTTAGGCCTAAGCGTCACGTGAACGTAAACACGTGATAAACAGGTGTTCCTTTGCACTTCGAGGAATCACCTGAGTCCACTATATGTGTCTTCGTACGGAGTGACTCAAGGTCAGAAGTAGACTCGAGATAGAATGGTATGTATAAACTTTAGCTCGAAGCTGGGGATTACCAGCGAGAGCTATCCTACTTAAATACTACTCGATAGGGCCTAAATATACGACTACCTATTGTGCGTTGCTGTGTCCTTTGTGCCCATTGTACTAGGGCCTCGTTACCATACATAAAAGGTTCGTTGTGCATCGTCGAGCGCCGTCTCTTTGTCGAAGACAATGGTGGATTCTGACGTGCTGACCAAGATCCCCATGGTCCAGTGTCATGACTAAGTGCAAAATAGGGGTTAAGGAAAAGGAAAAAATAGTAAAATCGTAACATTACCCCCTTGTTAAGACCATTGTCCCGATGGCTTAATTAAGGGAGAGTTCATAGTCATATATGGCTTTGTCGGCGTCCATATATTTTTCGTTGACCCATTGATTAGATTCTGGGCCATACCCCTTCCAACTGACGAGGTAATTGACAGTCGTTGTTGTTCCTCCCCCTTTGGCCTTGGTTCATCGGAGTTTATGATCAAGGATGTGATCAATTTCGAAATGTTCTTCGTCGTTGATCAGGTCTGGAGGTGGGGGTGGTGGCCGTTCCTGGTTAGGGAAGGCTGGGGCGATGTATGGGTTTAGCAAACTTTCATTGAAAACGTCGTGGATTTTCCAAGTCTGTGGTAGACGTAGTTTGTATGCGCTAGGCCCGATGGCTTTTACGACTGTGAAGGGACCTGTCCGTTTGTCGTCAAGTTTCTTTTTTGGACGTGGCAAATGAAGGTTTGTTGTGTCTAGCCATACTTTGTCATTTGGTTGATAGGTGCGATTTGGCCGTCGGTGTTTGTCGTAGGTTTTCTTCATTGTTATTGCGGCCTTCTCTAAAGCCACTTTTGTTTCGTTGTGAATTTTTTCCATGGTGGCCACAAAGTCCGATGAGGCGGGTGTAGTCGCACGGAAGCGACTTGTCTGAGTGATGTGTGGGTGTCGGCCATGGTTTACGAAGAATGGGGTTTTCCCCGTTGCAGAGTGCACACGGTTGTTATGTTGAAAGCCTGTGAGTGCCAGCCATTCGGTCCAATCATCCTGTCGGTAGTTAATGAAAAGACGCAGGTACTTTTCGATTTCCTGATTAACACGTTCCGTCTGTCCGTCTGTTTGGGGGTGATAGGCAGTGGATGCATTTTGTTTGACGTTTAGGAGTCGGTATAAGTCGGTGATGAATTTAGAGACAAATTGAGGACCCCTGTCTGAGATAACGACTTGGGGCATCCCATGCTTCGCGTACACTTCGTCACGTAGAATTTTTGCCCATCCTTCCGAATTCAATTCTGTGGAACATGCGACTGGGATGATGGTTTTTGAGAATCGGTCTACTATGACGAGGATGGCGTCATAGCCGTTGCATTCGGGTAAGCCGGTGATCATATCGATGGAAATGTGTGTCCATGGAGTAGAGGGTATTTCATTGGGATGTAGGGGCGCGGCTCGGGCTTGCGTGGAGGACTTCCCTCGTTGACAGGCTTTGCAAGCTTTTACATATGCTGTTATGTCATGCCCCATCTTCGGCCACCAGTACTCCCGTAGTACTAGTTCTTTGGTTTTGGCGATGCCCGGGTGTCCTGCCGTTGCGTGATCATGACAGGTGGCGATGATTTCGCCACGTAATTGTTGGTCCCTGGGGATATAGATGCGCCCATCGTAGCGGATCAATCCCCCCTCCTTTACCATTCCTCGTTCGTGATTGAGAGACGGGGCCACACGTTGGTCCCATTTGTGGGTATCCCGCGTGGCGCTCTTGATCCGTTTGTGTATTTCCTCTTCTGTTGGCATTATCATGGCTCGAAAGTGTTCCGGCTTCAGTAATGTTACCCCCTCGTTATCAGTTCCTCCTTGGTCATGGTCTGCCCGTCGACTTAGCAGGTCGGCTTTTTTGTTTGCCGTTCCGGCTTTGTGATGTAAGGTGTACTGATATTGGCTGAGCTCTGTTACCCAGCGGGCTTGGCGTCGATTAAGTTTCTGTGGCTGTCGGAAGTAGCGTAAATTTTGATGGTCCATCCAGACCTCAAATATTTCCTCTGCCCCGATGAGGTAGTGTCGCCATTCTTCTAAGGCGAGCATAATGGCGAGTAGCTCTTTGTCGTAGATTTCGTAGTTTCGTTCTGTGACCGTTAAAGCCTTGGAGAGAAAGGCTACGGGTTGCCACTTCCCATCTTGTTCTTGTGAGAGAACGGCCCCTATTGCCCCCTCACTCGAGTTGGCTTCTACTCTGAACCTTCCTTCTTGGGATGGGACTGCCAATACAACATCCTCTGCCAGCCGTCGTTTGAGGTCCTCGAAGGCGATTTGTTGAGAGAGTCCCCAATTCCAGGGTGCATTGCCCGTTAACTGCGTCATTGGGCAGACGATCTTGCTGTAGTCGCGAATGAATCGTCGGTAGAAGTTTGTGAACCCGAGGAATGATTGTAATTCCTTCTTCTTGTTGGGTTCTGGCCACTCCGCGACTCCTGCAACCTTTACTGGGTCCATCCGGATGCTCCCTTCGCTGATGATTACCCCAAGGTACTCTGTTTCCAGCACTTCGAATTCGCATTTCTCCGCTTTGAGAAATAGTCTGTGTTTCCTCATTAAGGCTAGTACCTTTCGTACTAGGTCGCGATGCTCTTCCTTTGTCTTGGACATGATTAGGATGTCGTCAAGGTAGATTGTCACTTTCCCGGTGGAGATGAGGTTCTTGAAGATGTCGTTCATCATCCACTGGAAGGTGGCGGGAGAGTTTGTGAGGCCAAAGAACATGACCGTTGGCTCGAATAGCCCCCGGTTAGTGCGGAATGCGGCCTTCCACTCATCGCCTTCCTTGATTCGGATGTTATTATATCCCCATCGTACGTCAAGTTTTGTGTAGTATCTGGCGCCCTGGAGTTTGTCCATTAACTCCGAGATCAGGGGCAGTGGATAGCGATTTTTGATCGTCATCTCATTGAGCTTCCGGTAATCTTGGACCGGTCGGAGTTTTCCATCTTTCTTCTTGACGAAGAAGAAGGGAGATGCCATGGGGGATTTTGAGGGATGGATCCGCCCGCTCGACAGATTCTCGTCCAGAAACTTATCAAGTTCCTGTTGCTCGTAGTGCCCAAGTGGGTAGATCTTGCAATCCAGATTGGCGTTGGCATTAGGAATCAGCTCGATCGCATGATCCCAGGGCTTCGAGGTGGGTAGCTCGTCGAAGCTCTCCTTTTCGAACAGGTCCTTGTAGTCTCGGGCCCACTCGGGCACCATCTCCTCAAACGTCTTCTCCTCCTTCCCTTGATTTGCCTTGGCGGCCAAGTCGTTCGCATGATGGACGGCTCGTATATGGATTTCTTTTTCCAGGTCCACCGCCAGTATAGTCTCTCCGTCTTCCATTTCCTCATCCCATCGGTCTTCGGGATCCTCATCCGGCAGTTCGAATGGGATTTTCCTACATCTGCACTGGGCGAAGGTAATTCGACCGGTCTTCCAGTTGATTAGCGGGTTGTGACGGATCAGCCAGTCATGGCCGAGGAAAAGTTCTTTTGTCCCGAGATCCGTTACTGCTAGGTCGATCCGTTCGGAGTGGTCTCCGATGGTTAACCTGAGTTCGACGAACTCGGTAATGGATCCGGCTTGATTCTTTGTTCCGTCGGCGTTGTATACTGGTATTGGTGCTGCCGTTGCCCTGGTAGGGAGCTGATGCTTGTCGACGAAAGCTCGATTGATCGAGCTCCCTGTGCAGCCGCTGTCAATTAGGGCGGTTACTGGATAGGTGGCTCGGGAGGTTAACACTTCGATTTGTCCCTTCGTGGTTAGATCTCATCCAGGGGTCTTGGCTCGTAGAATGTATTTTTTGGGTCCATGGAGCTCATCCAACCATTCTAGGGCGCGATAGCGTTCGGCCTTCTTGATTCCTTTGACCAGTTCATCCACCACCTCTTCCGTTCTTGCCCGGTGTATCCAATTCCGGAGCACGGCTTTTGCCGCTGCTTCGTCTGTGGCTTCCTTGATGGCCCTCCACGTCCATTCGGTGTCAAATGGTTTTAGCCACGTGGTGGGACTCTCTGTCCCTGTTCGACCCACGGGTGTTTGAGTGTGTTTTTTCTTTTGCGATTCAATGGTGTGCTTTGTAAACGAGCTGGGTATATTCGAATGCGTAGTAGACATGATTGTAGCTACAGAGACATTATCAGTCCGACTAGCGGCTGTTGTTGACACACCATCTGATCTTTTGGCCAGTCCAATGGAATCGCTCATTGGCTGGCCTCGCCTTTTACTTCCTTGATCTTGGTTTCCTTTCCAAGGTCTTCTTCTTCCTTCTGGAGCTCGGCGATCTGCGCCCGTATGTCTTCTCGGGTTCACTTCTTCTTCGGGCAATCCTTTGCCATGTGCCCCTTCTGCCCACAATTGAAACATTTTCCTTCCTTCTTCATGCGGTCGATGTCCATTGGCTTCCCGGCTCCGGTATAAGTCGTACCGGTCCCGGTCTTCTGCGTGCCATACGAGACGGCGGTTGTCGAGGAGCCCGAAGGTTTTCCGGCAGTTTGCCCTGACTTGTTTGGGGTTGGCGGGGCTGGCTTCTTTGCAGACTCTTGCAGCATTGTGGCCTCCGCTTTCTGCCTTTGTCGCTCCTTGTACATCTCGACGATTCGTTCCTTCCATTCGTCATAACCAACCGGCATCAATATTTTGACGCCCAT